GCTAGTAAAAACAGTTTTATCAGTCATTATCCGTGTACGAACCAGCGCAAACAGATAATGTTACCTCACGAAGTTAGCCATCAGTCTCCTTGCTTATGTTGAGCATACCAGCTTATTTCTGGTTCAAACACATATGGCTTAATTAAACCAATATTTCCTCTTGCCATTGCCATTGTATCGCGTTTACTACAGTCCAGTACAGTTCAGGAGGCACTGACTCATGGCTGGCTGCTGTGTGACTGAGTGGAGGCGGGGCTAATTTGCGTATTCATAGATCCGCGTATAGTAAACGAGGCAAGGGTGTACAGTAGCATTCAAGCTATTTTAAGGCATGAGAAAATTATTTTCACAAGAAAAAACATTTAAATGTGTCGTTTTGATGATCAAAGATGAGTTGTAAAGGATAACATTTTTGACATCATAATAACTAAACCGTGTTCTTGCAGTGACTAAACGCCCGGCCGCATGAGGACGCTGTGCATCGTTAGATTCTTTTCACTACAGACGAAGAAGAAACGCACAGCGGCCACATGTGATGTGAACGTTCAGAGAGGCAGAAAAACATGGTGGAGAAGAGTGACGTCCGCGTGGTTCGCTGCGGTGGCAGCAAAATAAACCTTAGACCTCCGATCATCTCCACTGACTCCAGGTATCCACTAAATCAAGTGAACTTTTGTGTCTGATGCTGTCTGTATATTATCTAAATTTCATCATCTTAAACATTGAGCCGTGCTGGAGGGAATGAAGTTCCCAAAGGGATGCGTGATCAGCCTGAGAGCAAATTAAACTCCGATCTAACTTACATGTGTGTCTGAACACTTGGCTAAATGACAGGCTCAGCTGTATCTTTAAAGTGTGATGAACTTTAGTGATTGTTTACACTGCTGATGAACAGTGTTGGGGGTAACTCATTACAAGGAATGCGGGTTACGTAATCAGATTACTTTTTTCAAGTAACTAGTAAAGTAACGCATTACTTTTTTAATTTACAAGAAAATATCTGAGTTACTTTTTCAAAAAAGTAATGCCAGTTACTTTGTTTTCCCATTTATTGACTGACAGCTCTCCTGTCCCCATGTTGGGAGAAATAGGGAGTACAGAGGCGTTGTGTGAACATGATGTTACTGTAGTTCTAGACTAAATGTGAATGTGCATTCATTCATCCCACTCACAAAAAACAGATTTAGTATTCATCAAAATGAATTAAAACAGTGAAATGCAAACTCAGAATATGACGCAAACCTGCAATAATTAAATATGTTAACACAAATGTATCTAATTCCATTTTATTAACCAATATCTTTGCTGCTGACCGTTGATGATCCAGTTCAACCATACTAATAAGCAAAAATGACTTTAGAGAAACTAACAATTGTGCTTTGTTTTTTTATTGCTGAAGAGTGTTTCTTCTCCTGCGTTCTACTGTACAGACGTGAATTTACTTTTGCTTCAGCCTGAGGTTTATTCATTACACATTTTGGTGTGAAAGGGCTTTTATATTTGCTATAAATAGAACTTCTTATATTAAAAACAATCAAGTCCTGCTTATATTTAAAAAGTTGCGCGAAAGTAATGCAAAAGTAATATAACGCATTACTTTCCATAAAAAGTAACTAAGTAACGTAATTAGTTACTTTTTTAGGGAGTAACGCAATATTGTAATGCATTACTTTTAAAAGTAACTTTCCCCAACACTGCTGATGAATGTGTTGGTTTTGTTTTCAAAAATACAGATATTTCTGTAAAGCAGGTAATCATTGTTCCAGACACACATCATGCATGCTGCTTTACCAAAAGGAAATCAGTAATAATGTAAAGTAAAGATATTACAGATCTGTCAACATTTACGAACTTTGTTTGCTGCAACCACCCTGGGTTGCGGGTTTTTTTTATTTTACACTTTTTAATTCCCCCCAATATGATGATCCCATTGAAAGGGACTCTTCCTAAAATAAAAGAAAGCTGTATAGTCATACAAAAATAAATTAATAAAATTAAATAAATAAAATATATATATAAACATTTATATTGTGTGAAAAAAATAGTAAGCGTCATGATATAAAACCCAAGTGGCCCCAGTATTAAGTAAGTTTATTTGTCATTGCACTGGTGTTA